GATTATAGGTGTGTACCACCACACCTGGCTAATTTTTGTATTTTTAGTAGAGACGAGGTTTCACCATGTTGGCCAGGCTGGTCTCGAGCTAATTTAAGGTGATCTGCCCACTTCGGCCTCCCAAAGTGCTGGGATTACAGGTGTGAGCCACCGCATCAGTCCCTCAAAGAAGCAATTTAGAAAGGAAAGAATCATAACAACAGATTCCACTGTAAGAATATTTTTGCATGTCCTCGAAGGAGGAGTAAGAGAAAGAATGTAATGCACATTTCGGCTACCATGCTACGCCCTGATCAGCGCGTCCATTTCCAGGCCCTGATTTTTCACTCAGCATACGTTTTTCTTCCCCATTCCTGTGGTATTAGAGATTGTATCTTGCATCCTTTCGCCTGCTCCTACTGTCCCTTCTACCTTTCTGCTTTTCTTCCTACTTTCTGCCCGAGCCATTTTCATTAGTTCTAATGCCAAGGACAAAATAGTTGTCATTGACTCTATCATTGCCTATCACTACTCCTTATTTCCCTCGCCTACAATGTCTGTTTACCACAGTACAGCTCTAAAATCTCCCACATATTTTATTTCATTTTATCTTCAAAATGTAAGGTGTGTAAGGCAGAACACAAAATTTATATCTCATACACTACAAACTGAGCATCATGTAGTATAAGTAACGTGTTTGCCCACATTTTCGAAACTCATCAGAATGGAGACTAAAATTCAGGAATGTACAATTCTTAGTCCAATGTTTCCTAAGCGGAATTGTACAACAGAAAGCATGGGTTTCAAAATAGGTATTCCTGAGATTTGAATTCTAGTCCCATTGCTAACAGTGTGCTGTGATATCCCAGATTAGTTACTTAATGTTTCTAAGCTAAAATCTGAAAACCCAGGGAAGATTTCAGACAATCAGTAGCAAAACGTCCTGGAAAGAAATGGAGATATACCTAGTTCCAGTTCATCATTCAGATTCAGATGGGCATCTTAAATCCTGGATCTCAGGGAGAATAAAAGCAATTATAACAAGGCAAAATAAAATAGGCTCTTTATACTCAGGTGGGGAGCTGCCAAAAAGCACCTCATACATTTTTAAACATTCACCGTTACTATTCTAAACACTATTCCGTTACAAGCACCTAGGAATTCTTTCCAGGTTAGAGATTTTCTTTAAGGGACTACGCCCTTTGTGGCTTCAGCAGGTTTCTACACTACTTGTGAGCCTCAGCTTCCCTGGTGAGGTGAGACCAAGACTCCCAACCTCACGCTTCAGAGGCTTTCACCAGATTTTCACGTTTCAACCATATGCTCTTCTTGGGTGGTCTCCAGTTTAGAGCTTTTCCTGCCATTGTCCCTAACACTCTTTGATTCCCATTCTTTTCCTGCATCATGACACATACATCCTCACTTTCTTCAAACTGCTCCACGCAGCCTTCATTCAGCTTTACCTGCTGAACGTTATGCTGGACACTTTAGTGAAGCACTTGTGATGTATCACCTCATTTAATCCTCAACAACCCTGTAATGAATATGTTATTATTCCCATTATACAGGCAAGGAAACCAAGGTCAAGAGTCCGGGACTGGTGACTTGTCCTGATTCCAACATTTAGGAAGTGATGCCTGAATCCAGCCTGGACTCTAAATTTTGATTTTTTTAATAGCCCTACGTGCTAGTCCCCATGCTTCTTTCCACCATAGTATAAAGCTCATTTCCTCTTTGAGAAAGCAGAGGGCTAATTAATGTTTTCACTGATTAATTGGCATATGCAAAAAAAGTGAGCACATGCTATCTGACCAGGTGCTGAACCGCCAAACTGTGTCGGTGCTGTTGTCAAAAGTCTTGGGAAAAAAGCTGTCTTTCCCACATCAAAAACTTCTTGAATACAAATTTTATCCCTGCAATGCAATCTTCCAGAAGAGCACTTACTAAATGGGTTTCATTGGAAATAAACTAACGACAAAAACCTAAGTTAAAACAGACTGACAATGACCTGTCTCTGAGAAGGGGAGAGCAAAAAGAAGGCTTACTGATCGGTCATTCTTCAGATGATTACTATTAAGCCTTCGATGTCGCCAAGCACAATGTCTTAGACTTTCTGCATCAGTTCCACTTTTAAATGTTTTGCCCTATTCCCCTGTTGATTAATGGTTGTCCAACTGTGTGTCCCCAATTCTATGTTTGTAAAATATGGTTATGATACTTAAAAATAAACTTCTATTAAAAAAAACAACTGCCCTTAGTTTTGAGGTGTTTTATTTTTGAAACTTGTCCCAAATGCTTTTTTCTCTGAGATATGGGGACTCTTTTTATTTGCCTTCATGCAAATCCGTTAAGCTCCCAACATTCCTCTGCATGGCTGCTGGGAAGTTTGCTGTGGACACTCCCTGTCCAGGTAGCTCCTGCCACCACCCATTCAGCAACAAACCCCTGGGGCTGAGCCTCCAGCTTTCCATGATCTCCATTAGTAGAACATTTTTCTTTCTTCTTTTCCCTTTTGCTGCTTAGAAACCATTCTTTTCAGGTCCAAAGTCAGATATTTAGGCTATTTTAGAAAAGCATCTAAAAGTCATTGCCCACCTCCTTACTTGGTAGAGAGAAAGACATGATGGAATATTAGGGTGTGGTAGCAATGAAGGCAGGAGCAAGGGGAAAGAAAGTGACCAGAGAAGATCTCATTATAGTGACCTAGAAGAATTCACTTTACTGGTATCGGTTCTCCTATTCACTCCTAGAAGGCAGTAGCCAGTGGGTCCTCTGTGAAATCATGCTCCACCCAAGTGCTCCACCATTCCACACCCTTGTTATGTTCTCTTGTAGTTAGATTCCAGTATTGCCCGACTCTGAACCACATAATACATTACTTTCAGTCAGAAGACATCCCCCACAATGCTATCTAACAAGGGAGAAAGTGAAGGACAGTGAGATATACGAGACCATAGCCAGTCATTTCCTTGAGAGGCAAGAGCGCACATAGCCTTTGGAGCTAGCAACCAATGTTAGAATCCTGGCTTCCACTTCGGAGCTATAGCATTTTAAATACGCTATTTAACCTCTCTGAGTGTCAGTTTCCCCATCTGTAAGATAAAGATTAAACAATACCACTTGGGTCACTAGGCAGTTAGCAGTATTAAATAAATAGTGCATACAAAGCACTAAGCTCCTGGCATACGGGGAACATTCTCAAAGCCCCTAGGATACATCAGTGAACAAAAAGAGTTCAGTCTCTCCACACGCTCTGCACCATACTTCATATTTGAACATCGATGTTGTGGATGTGTAAAAGGTACCAGAGAGAAGCAATCAGCTAGTCAGGCAAAACCTTATCTACTGGGGAGAATAATACAGGTTGCACAATAGCCCACATGAGAAAAAAAAAGATTTTTACCTATTGTGCTCTCAAAGTATGCACTTATCTAGATCATTTTAAAATTTGCTTTTATCCATATCAGAATTCTTTTGATGCAAAATTGTGCCCTCAAATTGCCACTGTTAAAGCAAAATTTTCTAAGGACAATCATGTTTAAAGAAAAATCTACCTGAAGGACAACTCAGTAGGCTATGCCAGCCAGTCTACATTTTCCATTTTGCTTATTTTTCCCACTTCCCTTAGCATGGGCTATTTGTGCTTCTGCCTGTTTTCTAACAGCTGTACCTGCACCCACGTAAATGGAAGAATATATTTCTCATAGGATACTGGAACGTCTTTACTCAACACTTTCAACTTGACCTTTCCTAGACTGACGGGAAGCTCGGAAGCAGAAGCTAGTCGTCTCTGCCTGCTGCCGACAGATGGCGGTAGTGGTCATGCAAGGTTCTTTAAGTCTCAACCAAGTCGCTCGGCTGCGGTGTTGTCACCTAGCCGGGTAGCATGCTTGCGGTGTCTGTGCTAGGTTTTAAGGTGTTTATAAACATTATTAACCTGAAAGCATGTCTTCTAAGTACAAAACTAAAGGCAGTTTTGAGCGTGGTGATAAAAAGTATAAGATGACAATGACAATTGTAAAAACCCAAAGTGATGAAAAATGGTAAACGTAGCACTTGTGGTGAAACAAATTATTCTAAGACACGAACGGCTGCAATGGACAGCGCATATGCACTAAGCGCTGTATCCAAGCAATGAACAATAATCGGCAAAGCAAGGAAAATAACTGAATAACTGATAATAATAACCGAATAACCAGAATAAAACACTTTTTTATGCAGTTAGAAATTAAGCCCCAATGTCAAGTAGCAATTAGCCATATGACAATTAACCTAACGTGAATGCAGGAGAGGCTAGGATTTATTGGAGACTTTAGAGCAGGGGTTGTCAATCTTAACTGCACTCTAGAATCACCTGAGGAGCTTTTACAACTCCTGAAGCCCAGGCCAATAATCAGAATCCCTAAGCGTGGGACTCAGGCACCAGCAGTGTTGAAAGCTCTTCAGGTGATTGGAATGTGCATCCAAGATTAAGATCCATTGCCTTCGAAGCTAAGCATGGGGAAAATGAGGTTGCTACAGGTTCCATGGATTGAAATCTACTTGGATGTGCAGATCAATGTGTGTGATAAGCATTAATTCCTTGGCAAAAAAATATTTCCCTATAACATTTGTATCTTCAAGGAGAGAAATCAGCTGCCTCGAGAGATTTTTCTTTTTATAGTCTTGAAAAGAGTATGTGAGAGAACACATATTGCCAAAGAATAACAGAGTATGCCTTTCATATACCTATTTGAAGAAAATGTATCCCAGCGCTACAAGTGTCAACATCCTTTAGTCATTTCAGTGAGTCCATTTACAAACAAGTGGACACATAAACCTTTTCAAAATGATAGAAGCTTCTAGACACCAGCACCTTTTCCTCACTTTCGTCTTTAAAAGATTAATCGCTGGCCTACCCACACTCTCAGTGCAATCTGATTACCTTTCATCATTAACGACCAAGTTTTATAGGAAAACAAACGCATGGTTTAGCCCTTAGTACAAACCCCCAAGCCCTTCTCGCTGCAGCCCCTTTTTACCTTATCTGCCATGATCATAGAGGAGCCCCCGTGGATGCCCAGGATGGGGGTGAGAGTCTGTGCTGAAATGAAATCGAGGATCTGGGCGATGGCTTCCTGGTCTGTGTCATCAGCAAACACCACCCCCTGGATCTTCCTGTCAGACATGAGATCACAAATGCGGGTGATGATGCTCTTTGGGTCGGTCTCATTCATGGCTACCAGCTCCACCCGGGGCACCACGGAGAGGTGGTGGAAATCATCTTTCTCGTGGGCATCCTTGATGGCCACCTCGTCGGAAGTGCCCACGAGGATGACAGCGATGCCAATGCTGGGGGGGCTCTTCTGAGAACGAGCTCTGCTGCCTGACACCGCCAGGACGGCCAACACCAACCAGAACTTGGGAGAACAGCACTCTGCTCTGGGCTTCATCTTCAACTCGTCGACTCCCTGCAGACACAAAGAGACAGGACGTTAACATAGGACCCACACCACGTAACCTGTCTTAGGAGAGGCTAGATACTGCAATTCAAGGACCTTACTTCCTTTCATTGAGCCCCAAACGCAACTCCATCTACCGGCCTACTTTCTTATCTCTGGTATCTGCTCTGCGGAATGAGAAAAAATGAAACTTTCAAAAGCCTCAGAAATCCGTGAGCAAGGCAATAAAAGGTGCTATTGCTATAGTCATTGGCAGCTAGAGACAGACAGAAGAGGAAAAGAGGATGCGAGTGGTCCAGGTGGCCAGGCGAGTCCACACACACGAGTCTCCGGGCACTTGCTGTCGCTGCAGGACTCCTGGCCCTCCTGTTACAGCCACCCTTGAACTGTTCTTGGGCTGAGGGATGGCAACACCAGGCCAAGTGAGCAGAAAAACGTGCTCAGCAGAGGTGAGCAACCGAACATGGGCTGGACAAACTGGATGTCCGGGGCTATAGGTACACAAGCCCTGCATTCTCGCTGCCTCATCTTACGTTTGCCTCAATGAGGACAACAGCCAGAAAATTCTTTAGTAACCCTGATAATATCTGGCTCTTAATACTAAATTGCAAAAACAACTGATACATGACCAGTATTTTAAAATCATTGTCTCAGTTGATCCTTATAATAACCCGGCAGGGAATAAAATAAGAAAAACATTATTATCCCCATTTTATAAATGTGGAAGCCAAGCCTCAAAGAAGCTAAGTGTTCTAAGACCATGAACCAATCAATTAAGTGAAATAAACCTGAACCCAGATCTTCTGACTTTCGTATTCCAATTTGTGTTCCATTACCCTACATGGAACTGCCTCTCAGATTACCAGTTATTATACAGAATACATATTACTCCAGTCTGTGTATGCACCAAAATACAGAAACTTAAACAAATACTATTAGCAGCTGAAGTTAGGTTAGAGCCACATTTGAAAACTGTTCCTTTTTCTGACGCCATCCCATAGCTGTGACTTCCCTAAAATGACTGATACATATTTTCATATAATTTATCAGCTTTTACCCACAAAGAAGTCCTTCCTTTTTACTTCCACACATGACCCTAAATCTTACTTTATGCACCAGACTAAGGACACAACGTTCTACAGAATATAAGCCATGGTCGTCTCTCTTTTTGCTTCTCCTCATTCTCTAAGAGCTCCTCTTATTTTAATATAACTAGTTCTGCTAATGTTGCTTTATTTTAAACAATCAATGCTCACTATTCAGGTGATGGCTACACTAATAAGCCCAGCTTCACCACTATACAATATATCCATGTAACAAAAGCACACATGTACTTTTGAATCCATAAAAAAAAATCATTTATTATACATCTTTTATATGCTGTACACCGTGTTAGATGTTTCTTCATATATAATCTCTCATATTCATGGACATCCTATAAATTAGACATTTTATTACCATTTCTCAAATAGAAAAGCAGAAGCTGAACACTGTTATGTAATTATCCAAGGTCAATGGCGTTATAACACCAGCATGCCAATACATAAACACAGCATTTTGATACTCCAAGGAAATATTCTACAAATTGTGCCCAGAACCAAAACCAGATTCTATTTTTTCTACAGAGAGAGAGAAAGCATGCAACCAAGGATGAAAATGCTGCTTCCAATCTTTTGCTTGTTTCAAATAAAAAGGTGAGAGATTAAAAATCTAAAAATGTTGAGAGTTTAGCTAATTTTTAAAAATCTTAAAAGTAAGGAAGTGTTTGAGATGAGCAGTTAGTCTTGACTACAAAGGGCATTAATGATTTGGGAGTAAGATGCTGGGGACATTTTGAGGCTGAAGAAGCACAAAATCCAATCCAGTTCTTGGCAGAAAATATTTTGGAACTCTTACTGGTGTAGTCATCCTTCAACGCTGCCAAGGAGGAGACCTGTATTGATTGCCTTGTCTCTCTCTCGCAAATAAGATGAGTAGCTCAGTGGTTCATGCCTGAGAAAAGTTTACTCCTGACTGTTTTCTGGTCTCTGTGAACACAGGGAATGACTCCACGAGCCCTGGAAACCTCTGCTGATGGGCTGTACTGAATTTAGCAGGAGAACCAGGGCCTGAATTCCTCCTCCTAGAACTTACAGGAAAGCAACACTAGACAGACAATTGAGTAGTACTGATATCCAGAGGAAGACAGAAGGGGTTTACCACAAAGACCTGTGGACAAAATACACACACACACACACACACACACACACACACACACACACACATTCAAAATCTGTTCAATTCCAAGGACTGGTTCTCAAAAAAAGCCAAAAGATTCAGCATTTGCCACAACTATAGGCTAACTTCATTCCAATGGTATTCCAACCTACAGTTACAAGTCACTAAATGAGTTTCCTTCACATCTAAAAGTGGCCCACTCTGCCATGACAGTTTATTAACTTTAATGCACTCCACACTCTCCCACTTTGCTGTTTTATTTGCTCTCCCTGAAATATCTCGCGTTCCTCTATTTTGTCTCACACAATATATTATATTTTGCTATGCAATGGCTAGTTGTGACACCCAAAGAATAGCATCTGGTTTTACAGAGCATCTCATCTATACTCAGGATATAGCAAAGCACTTTACAAAGCAATACATTATGGGAGATACCAGGAACAGAGGGGCTGTGAGACAAACAAAGAGGCTACTTTGAATACAAACTCAATTTCAGACATTAAAAGTGATCCATTGAGAGAAAGCATGTAGCCAAAGATAAGCAGAGTGGCTTTGCTCCCTTCCTCACAGAGACCATGGTTAAGTCTTGACTCACCAGCTCTAGGGAAGTCTTGCTCCCACCATCCCATTCACTGCACTGACCCTCCCCTGTAGAATTGAGCATTGCTTCCTCTGGGCTCTCACCATAGCCTGAATGCGTCTATTTAAATACATGTAATCTCTTATTATCAATCTGTGAAGATGTGTCCACATACTTTAACTAGTTGATAACCTCCTGGTGAGCAGGGACTCTTTCAGTTCGGTAAGCATTTATTGAGCACTTACAACCTAGTGAATTTTTTTTTTTTTGGTGATGAGGATCCAACAGATACGGATGCTGTCCTTCGGGACCATGGTCTAGCAGACTATACAGACACAGACACAGACACATGAAGAAAATGTTGCCTCACTTTTATCACATTCCTGAGCTCTAACAGTGCCTCATATGCAGTAAGGAAGGACTCAATAAATGGGGCCAATATTGAGTTTCTACTTTTAGGATGAACCACATAAAACTGTCAATATTTGACCACTTTTGACCTATAATAGTTCAACCTGCTGTGTGCTAGGTACTATGATTGCCAGGTAATTTTCATGCATTATTAGACACTCACAAAAGCATCATAAGTCATACTTTCCCTTTACTACAAACGAGAAAACTGAGGGTCAAGTACATGACCAAGATTACACAGCTAATAAGGGATGGCATCAATTTTCAAACCCAAGTTTGTCTGGCTCCAAAGCCCTTGTTGTTCCCCTTCTGGGGCCTCTCAGTATAATATGAGCGCTGAGTGAGTGAGTGAATGAATGAATGAATGAATGAATGAATGAATAAATGAAATCACCAACCAAAACCAAGTTCTGTTTTAATACTAGTTCTGCATTAACACAGTGCCTGAGGATGGGCCAGTCACCAAATCAGCATCTCTATGCTATCATCGGTGAAATCAGGATAATATACCTAACCTACATACCGAAAGTTTTTTGTGAAGATCAAATGAAAATATATGTATATGGAAGTGCTTTGAAGAATCTAAAATACTCACAGATGCAAAGGATATTACATTTAAGCTTCTATAGAAGCTGCTGAAGGAGCCTATTTATGATAGCACAAAGTGAGCATGTGGGAAGTGAGGGTGAAAAAATGGCAGACAGAGGCTGAGAAGAATGTTAAGAGGAACCTCGTAGGGGGCAAGAGGTATGAGTTCCCTGAGCAATGTAACTTCCTGAAAAAGATGTCACATAATGGCCTACAGGTAGCAGCGACCTCCACTGACAGCTTACTAGTCACCTAGATGAATTCAAGAGTCATTCAGGCCAGGGCCAGTACTGGGAATTGGTGGAGCTCAGTATATCCAAATCATGCCATGAACTCAGGAACCAGGGTGCACAAGCAGTACTAGCAACAAAGCAGGAAAATGAGAGCTGACTGTTCACTTATTTGGCTCTTCGCGTCCCTGAAGCCTGGGCCGAGTGATCCCTAGATCCACAGTAAACGGAAAGCCACAGGACCTTATCTTCATACCGGTAAATGGTACGGGGTAACTACAGCAGGAAACAGTCTACACTGCACATCAAGCAGACTCTAAGGGAAGACACATCTGGGTGAGAAGCCAGGCCAATCCTGTCTTTAGAAAACTGAGTCCTGGGACAAGCCCAACTGGAAGGATAAATGGGACTTAATCAATAAATAAGTCAAAAATATTCCAAGCCTCATCTTTTAATGTAGTCAGGATGTTGTTCGGAGTGACTCAGTTAAGGAGACCATGACTGGAATATGACAGACAGTGAGTGAAGCTAAGGTGAAAATGCCAGAACTATGCATTGGGTCCAGTTTCCCAAGCTACCAATAAAGACGCAAAGTTAGGGAACACAGGCTTAAAACGTGTCACATTAGAGAGTGGGGAAACAAGAATTCTCTCATATACTGAAAGCCAAGAGAAGTATAAGTGAGTATGACTTTTTGGAAGTCAAGTGGTAGTATCTATCACAATTTTAATATAAGACAAAATAAAATTCAAAGGCAAAAGTATCAAAAGGGACATTACGTGGTATCACATACTGTACCAGGAAGATGCAATCATTATGAACACCCATGAGGCTAAAATACGCACTTTTCATATATGAGGCAACAAACAAAATTTCCATGGGGAGAAACAGACAAATCCAACTGACAAAAGATCTTATTAACTAAGACACTAAAGATATTCTTTTAAAGCATGAGTTCTAAGTTTGAACTAGTTCAGATACCT